GTAGAAGCTTGACAGGGGAGTCCTGGATTTCTGCACTGGCCCTTGCTGCCACCACAAAAGACATCTGGGCGAGGTTGCCAGAAGGGTGTAAGAGACACGTGGGGGAGAACTGACCTGTCCCATCTGGGGCCATCTAGACCATCCAGAACCAGGCAACTGTCAGCTGACCAGAGGCACATGAAGGAGCCCAGCTCAGATCAACAGAACACACAGCTTACCTACAGACTCATGAGAAATAATAAATTGCTTGTCCTTTTAAGTCACTAAGTTTGGAAATACATGTTATGTGACATTGGTGGCAGTAGAGAGTTGCCACCAATTAAAGCTGTGGGACATATTTGAGCATAAACATATATGATCACCTTTTGGGAGATTTTTTTTTTTTTTAATCAAAAGACTCATAAGCATAAAGGAAAGATTGAGAATGCTGCTCAGAGAAAAGCGAGACCATTTGCTATAAACTCTTGACAAAAGAGAGATTCTTTTCCAATAAGATTGAAAATACATGTTTAATTTTCTTTAGCAATTTACAGAGCATATTTAAGCAATAGCAAAAATAAAGGCCACCTGGATCTTTTATATAAATCTTTCATAGAGGCATTATCTTTTTCTTCTCTTCCGGGGCCTCAGAATTTGTCACCTTGGAGCCTTAGTGTGCTCCCAGCAGCAGTGTTTTGGAGTTCTGGGAGGACAGAATCACGTGCAGAGGAAGAAGCCCATCATCCCTCTGCCTTTCATACTGTGCACTGTCCCCAAACTCCACACATTCCCTCCAATGACACAGGGTCCCCGACAGGAAGCCTTGTAGCTGTGCACTTCCTCCTCTTGGAGGAACCGGCAGCTGGGGCGTGTGACAGACAGGAAAGAGGCCTGCAGATGGGACTAGAACAGAAAAGGGTATGCTCCTGCAAGTTAAGGGAGAAAAAGCAAATTGAAGATACTTTCCCATTCTGTGGGTGCAGTGGGGCTGTGGCTGTCCAGAACACGGAAGCTCTGGGCCACATAAGATGGGGGACTGTACTCCCCCCCCCCCCCCCCACAGAGGATATTTCTCTGTTCTTTTTGATCTTCCCAAACTCACCACTGGGAACAACAGAATACAGGAAGCATCCTAATTCAGTTTTGATCCACTAAATGTCAGTACACAAAATGCACTCGAAAGATTTTCCTCTGAAGTGATTTTTGTTTCCCGTTTTGGAAAAGCAAAATGATGGCATCTTTCCATAGCTTGATTATCAATTGGTTTACTCACAAACAACTGAAATACGTGCAAATTCTGCTTTTCGAATCTAGCCAAGTGTAAATGTATTCAGATCTGCCCGCATTTATCTATTTAAAGCCCACATATATCTCTTGCAAAATTTGTTTTGTTAGAAAAATAGGCCCAAGGCCATGGATAAAAGATGGGGAAGCAAACATATTGTCAGCAGTAGAAACACGTTCACTGAATGGCAGACACAACCGTGTCCTTGAGAGGAGTCTAAAGTCTTTGGAATGCTTCACAGGGACCCGGTCCTAACAATTGGACCAACACATTACTAGGGCCCCTTAGGGGCCCATCTGCTACTCTTCTGGGTGTTCAACTCCTCGGCGACAGTGCCAAGAGACCAGTGCTGACGTGCAGACCGACTGCACGTCGGGGAGAGACTCAACCCGCTGCTTCCAGGAGAACACAGGGGCAGGAATCATTCAAGCACCAGGAACTGCCAAGCCCCTTGCCAATCACCGGCCACCCTGGGACTGGCCTGCTGGGAGGTGCCAGGCTCTGGGACACCACTCGCCTCCTGCTTGCCCTCTGACTTCTCAGTTTTTGTTTGCAGACTGTCCTACCTCCTTGAAAGAGTCATCTTTTATCTCTAACATTCGCCTCCCTCAATGTCACGTGGGGTTCATACAAATACATCATGCATTCCTTCTTGGTCCCTAAGCCAGCTCCATTTCCTTCCAAACTCACTGAAATATGAGGTAAACATACTTGTATGAAGGGCAAGGAAAACTAAAATTTAATAGCCATTCGTAAGCATTATATTCCTTTCCAGAATTTTGACTCAAATGGTGCTTGAAATGTAAAACTAAATCATGGGTTAAGGATATTAGTTTATAAGTAGCCTCTGCAGTCTGACTTGTGGGTGCTGAGGCCTTCAGCTGCTGTTCCTCTGGGCTTGTTAGGTTAGTTCAAAACCTCTCTCTGCTGGTTTTATGGGACCAGTTCATCACATGTTTGCAAAGCCTTCAGCTAATTTTTCACTTGTGAGCTCATCACATCAATTCCAAGCATCTACTCACACTTGCTGATTATGTCAAAGTGACACTGGTTTTCTATAAACAACAGAATTTCTATCTTTGTTCAGAGGAAACAAAGGTAAGCTACTTCCAAATGACAGCCTTTACACAGTCCCGTATTTCCTATAATGAATGCACTTCTGTTACCTCTAAGTACAGGTCCTGGGTACGGCGCAAAGCTTCATGGCACAAAATGAGGAAAAAAAAAAAAAAAAGGCAGCTTGCTACAGTTTGAGGAATAATATTCAGTCTTCTGTTGAGAATAGAGTTCACTTTTATGATCAAATCAATAAACTTTTAAAGATGCTAAAAACTGGTTCATTATTGCATGTATGTATTTAAAAAAAAATCTAACCTAGCTCACAGACCAAGAATGCTGCTATGCTTCTAGGGTGCATGATGTTCATTTTTAAAATAACTGTTGTTTATGGACCCAGAAGACATGTAAATTTGCAATATCCATCAGTCACTCCATCAGAATTATAAAATCCTTCCTATCCCTCTTGCAAATCTCAAAGTAACATCACAGCAGGAATGTAATCAACCATAACAGTTCTATTTACAATATGCAATTTAACCACAATGACACACATAAGACTTTCTTTCTTTATCACAAACTCGTTTCCCTGAGATATTCGTGTCTTCCTATCAATGTAAAAATGGCATCCAAGGGTAAGCATACTGTTAGCAGCACATTGCAATGGAAAAGATAATCTATCGGAAATTCTGTCCATTTCCATCAAAGGACACAATCTGGAATATCTAAAGGTACATAAAATATACTTATTATCACATTCAGTTGTTGAACATGAAGAATTTCACGTTTAGATGGAATTTCACCCCAAGAGTCAAGGTCACCATAGAGAAGCACTGAGCTTCCCTTGCTCACAAGCCCTTCATAGCTGTACCTTCCGCTTGCCGAGGAGCTGAGGCCTGGTTCGTCTCCATCGCCTCTCCAGCAGATTTCTGTGTTCATGAATACGCACCGTAGGAAAAGTAAAAGGCAAGCAATAAAAGTAGCTTACAAAGGAGTTTTTCCCGCCTTCAAATAGAAGCTGAAGCCATTTCTACAGGAATCCAGCGTATTTGCTGTACGTGGCTCCTCACCAGTCCAACGAAAGAAAAAGAGACAATAATAATAATAGTCTGCAATTCAGCCAATCAAATAGAGGGATGCAGATATGATGCCTATTAATACTGATACAATTGACTAAGCAACGTTCTTGCCTTCCCACATCTTAAATATGAGTGGCGAGTAACTGATGATATTGTTGGAGTTGCATGCAATCAACCAGTCTCGTATCTGTTGCTGATCATCAAAATTCGTAGTATTTACTAGTCATAGATGGTACCTCTAAGAAGACCCTACCTCCTGATCACTTCCATCATTTGGGTAGACTGCATGACAGTGTTTCTTAATTAGGTTCTGCTTTCGAATGCCCAGCGTGTGCACACCACCCAGCACCATACAAGTGTCCACATTAAACTCAAGCAGCGTTTCTCCAGCAAGGTCCTAAAATTCACCCAGGAGCACAGGGTCTGGTATCCATGTTACTATTCCCTGGAGACCTCCAGTGAAATATCACACATCTGGAAGAATACAAGGTTAACAACCGGCAAGCACACATGCCTGCGGCAGTCACTTCCCTGCAAATGGAACATTTTGCTTTTAAAAAGCAAATTAAGGTTTCAAGTACACATATTCAGACAGAGTTGGTAGATCAAAACATCATTAACTGAAGCATTTGTGTATCCAAAGTGATCTGAAGAGTCTGATTCATATTCTGTCCCATACCAATATCCAGTGACTGAGAACGAGACGAAGTCACAGGGATATCATTGCACAACAAATAATTAACAATTATTTGTTAATTATAACAAATTAAGAGAAAGAGAAAAAATTTAAAGGCAATCAAGCAAAGATTATGGGGCCTATTACACTCAAGTAACAACTTCTTTGCACTAGAGGGCAGTTTGGAGAGTGAAAACAAGATGATCATTCTTGTTCTCCTGTGAGGGCAGGGGACTTCTTTTCAGGAAATCAGAAAGTGAGGGCTTTTGAAAGGGCAACATCGCTATTGGGATGAGACTCTGTGCACGAGACGGATCCCTTACCAGTGCCCAACTTTCTCTTAGAGGCCTGCTCTTGAGCTGGGAGAATGTGAATCCAGCATCTGATAGTCTATGAAGGGAATCAAACAGAACACTTCTTGACTTTGACAAAAGAATGCATCTGTCAGCATAGAGTTGACAGACTTAAAGCTGCTGACATCCATTTGTTTATCTTTGTTAATTCATACTGGCTTCTAGCATAATAAATGCCACGTCTATGGTCTTAAAGAAATAGTTTGATGGAAACATTTTGTTCCCTTTCTGGTCAACTGTATGCATTCAAAAACACCTTCAAATAAATCATCTCTCTCTCTCTCTTTTTAACCAAGATGCAACCTCTGAATAGTATTCTTTTCTAAACATTGTTGACAATTTATTATCATTTGAGAAAGAACTTTATTGTTCAAACTTTCATCCCAACAGCTTGGTTTATTTCTAGGTATTGGCTTCTATCACAATTAAAATTTACGCCCTTGTAGGCCTCTGCTTCTTAAACAACAAGGAAATGTGCCCATTCCATACATGAAAAGATATAAAAAATAATAGTGCAAGTTCAAATTCAGTTGGGCTAGGAATAAAATTTTACCTGGGTAAATCAACAAAATCATAGCATCTGGATTTTACATATACATTTCACATATGAATGGAATTGGTTTGAAAGCTGAAAATGACATTTTTCATTACTCTAATTGCATCTGTTATTTTAAATTACAGTATATTTGTAATCATTAATTTGGCTTAAAGACAAAGATTCATTGGCAATTTTCAAAGGCATTAGTTAAAGAAAATTTGGATAGCCTTTAAGTGTTGAACCAACAAATTGTAAAAGTAGTATGGGTTCACATTAAGAGATTTTCTATACTATACAAAAGGCTATTATGTTTCAGACACTGTAAATATATGAACTAAATCCTGTTCAATCATACTAAAAATATATCAATGTAAATAAAGATACCAGAGCTAAGTGAGAAGTAAATAAAAAGCATAATTTCAGCTTTCAGATTACTAATTATATATAATTAAAATGTTCTTTAAGCAGTTAGAAGTGCAGTCTGACTTGGCAATAAGGGCATTTCTGGATATTACACCAGTTATAAACCAGTTGAAGAGATGTTAGCCCAATAAGAATCTAGAAAATTTCCATCACAAAGTCTCTAGGAATGGAACACTATCTGGCATTCTGATTTCTAGTTTTTTTAGGAATGTCTCAATGAATAAAGATGGGACATACATTTAATTATATAACTTGTTTTCATTTTAAATCTCCAAACAATAAAACATAGGTAATTTTAGTGAGAAGGGACTTAGAATAAGGAATATTGCATTGCTTTCATAGATTCTATGAACTCTTCAAAGTGCTCTAAAAACACTATAAGTTTGATTAGCAGCAAAGCATTTGCCTAATCAAAACCTCTCCTCCCTCCCCCCATATATACGTCTATATACACACACACTGTACAGCAATATATCCTATTAGTCTAACTTACATCCGACAATTTGACAGTTATTCCCAGAGGCTGTGCAAAGGTCACAAATACTGTCTACTGTCTTCGGACCACTAGCACCCACTGGTGAAGAGAGAACCAATCCTTTCCTTAAAACAACAACAACAACAAAATTTTAAATTTCTATTTTAAATTTTTTTTAAAATAAAGGAAAAAATTGGGGAATACAATGAATTGCCCAATATATTATTACTCTGGGGCCTGTAAATTTCTCTTTCTAAAACTATTTTTATATACACAGAAGGCTAGATGCCTTTAAACATAGTTTCTGCAATCCTAAATATAAAACATTCTGCTGAAAAATATGACTTTGTTTTTGTTGTTGTTGTTGTTGTTTCTTTTTTAACTTGGAGGAAAGTTCTGTGAGGTGCAAGTTTTCTCCCCACAGGTGAATTCTGCAGCATTTTCTCCCAGGAGCACACTGACAGCCCTGTCATTCTGTGTCTACCACATCTGGGGAGCAGAGCCTTCCCATGCTGCCACGGCCACAGAACCTAGCACAGGACCTTCAGAGAGAGGCTTTGGAGGGGCCAAGGCATCCTGGTCTTGTCTTTTCCATGCCCTTCCAGCAGCTCCCAATCCTTGGGTGTCTGGTAGAGCTGAAGTCCAGAACTTGAACTTCACTAGGAAAACGAAGTCCATTCAAAATCAGGGTTTTCATCTTTTGGTTGGGTGAGTCTTGGTCCCCCACGGATAGGAGTGATATCTAGAAGATTCACAAGTGGCAAGCGTTCATTATAGTCATATATATTTGACCTCACACATGCAACTTCAAAAGCAGTAGCTCAGGGATGTATGTAAATAAATCCCAGGGAAGAAAAGATGATTCTAAACATAATAGGATGGGACATTTTTAGAAAGCCACATTTTGCTGAACTTTGGGGCTGACGGGGTCTTTCTCAAATTATAAACTCTGTTGGAAATGATAACCCTTTAGAGAAGAAAAATAAACACCCATTCAAAGTAGTTTATAGTTTTAAACATCTAATTTACATGTTATCAGTTAATTGGGGGGAAAAGCATGCAAACTATAGATTTTTCTCTTGCAAATTTTACTTCTCAACGCAGATTTCATTGTTAAAAATGTTAATGTGTACCCCTAAGTATATAAGGAGGATATGTCTGACGTCTGTTCACCCACAGAATTCAAACAGTTTTACTCTCACAAACAACAAGGATAAAATTAAGGCATGCTAGGCTGTCTCCTTCTGGTAAGGAAGCTAAATGTTTATAAATGTAAACTATAATTTAATCATACATCCCTGCAAAGATCGAGAATAGAGCGTGCTTTGGGCTGGCCAAGTTTGTTTTGAGCTTATTTTATTGTCTTCATACTGCTTTCTTCCTCTCAACTCATTCTGCCTCCCCTTCCCGGAAGCCTGGAAAGGAGGGATCCCCCACTTTGCTTAGGGCTCCTTGATGCTATTTTTGTTTCTGTTACTCTTTTCCTTTTCCTAATGCAGCATTTTCTGCCCAAGACAAGCTTCCTAAACAACAGTCCAAGTAGTCTCCCCATTATTTAAACAGTTGCAGTAACTGTCCCTGAAGAGAGCTAATGGAAATTGGCTTTATCCTGAGGCTTTCAGTTTGATGATGGCGTCTCTCTATCCCTAACTAAATATTCACTCTGGGACCTAAGCTAAAAATGTCCATGCCAACAGACACATGAAAAAGTGCTCCACATCACTTGGTATCAGGGAAATACAAATCAAAACCACAATGAGATACCACCTCACACCAGTCAGAATGGCTAAAATTAACAAGTCAGGAAATGACAGATGCTGGCGAGGATGCGGAGAAAGGGGAACCCTCCTACGCTGTTGGTGGGAATGCAAGCTGGTGCAACCACTCTGGAAAACAGCATGGAGGTTCCTCAAAATGTTGAAAATAGAACTACCCTATGACCCAGCAATTGCACTGCTGGGTATTTACCCTAAAGATACAAACGTAGTGATCCGAAGGGGCACGTGCACCCGAATGTTTATAGCAGCAATGTCCACAATAGCCAAACTGTGGAAAGAACCTAGATGTCTTAAATGGATAAAGAAAATGTGGTATATATATACACAATGGAATACTATGCAGCCGTCAAAAAAAAAATGAGATCCTGCCATTTGCGATGACCTGGATGGAACTAGAGGGTATCATGCTTAGCGAAATAAGTCAATCGGAGAAAGACAACTATCATATGATCTCCCTGATATGAGGAAGTGGAGACGCAATGTGGGGGGGCTTGGGAGGTAGGAAAAGAATAAATGAAACACGATGGGATTGGGAGGGAGACAAACCATAAGAGACTCTTAATCTCACAAAACAAACTGAGGGTTGCCGGGGGGAAGGGGGTAGGGAGAAGGGGGTGGGGTTACGGACATTGGGGAGGGTATGTGCTATGGTGAGTGCTGTGAAGTGTGCAAACCTGGCGATTCACAGACCTGTACCCCTGCGCCTAATAATACATTATATGTTTATAAAAAATTTTTTTAAATTATGAAAAAAAAGTGTGCCATGCTTTAGCTCCTGTCTGGGTGTTTGGGAGATGCGTGTAAGTTTGAACTGATTGTCTGAAGTGGTAAACTTCAGTAATGCAGAAATTATGTATGCAATTCTCTGTGTGACCAGCATCACCAATTATATTTTGCAGTGGTGATGACAATGACAATGACAATCAAGGTGATGACAGAGAATGAGAACAGCAGCAGATCTGGGTAGATGCTGGTGACAGACCACGTGTCCCATTTCTAACCACAGCACTAGGGCTGATTTCTGAACTTGTGTTGCGTGTGAAAGATTGCACAAATACTGAGGTAAACAAGGTTAACAGATTTCTTACAGCGCATCTCAGACTCTGTGATATGGTAATGTGTGTCAACATCCTCTAAATTTGGAAAAGTGTACTTTCAGAGTTTCCCAAATCTATTTGATCACAAAATTTTATTTTTCAGGGAGCATCTATGAGCATCTTTGATAATATTGGCTATTCTATGGAACCTTTTAGGGAAAATACATTCTTCTGATTCCAAATTCTTGTTCATGTCCAGTGATATTTAGCACCCCCTATCTTTTGACCATGGAAAAATCATCACTGACTACCTAATTTGGTTCATATTTGGAAATATGTGTATTTCTAGCTTGTGAACTCTTAGGTGCTTCTAAGTGGAGGCTGACTTATCTTTTGGTAATTAATCTGGAACACCAGTAAACGAGTACTTTAAGCATAACAAAGGGTTATTCTTACTAGTATACTGTGAAGAGTCTTCTCTCAAGATATAGTTTCTCATTGTTATAAGAGGATGAAAAGAGAATATCATGGATATAATAATGTTTTTTGAGTGATTCACTTTAATTTGGAGCATTTTAAGAAAATCTTATGTACGTCATATCCAACGTATTTTTATTGAACTTGATCATTTAAACCATGTCTCCATATTCTATGCACAATTCTGAATATAACTGTAAATAATTTTTTGTCTTCATTATTAGGCATCTGATTATCTATTCCTTCAAATAAGAAAATTTGCAATGTCTTTTAATATAGGAGTACAGCTTTGGAAGTAGAAATAATGTTTGAATTTTTTAAAACTTAGGGATAGAACTGAAAAGGGATAAAAGTAAATTTAAAAATAAGACTAAAATTATGTTTTAAGGAAAAATAAGAGCTCTTGTAAGAGCTTCCCTAACTTCCTTACACACCTAGTTTTTCACTGATACTTAGTGTAGTTTCTGCAAAAATAAGAAGCCATTCAATGCTCAAGATCCTGAGTCTCTGAGAATATGCAGACAAATTATGACAAAAGTGACCTTTGCCCCCACCCCAAGCCAAAGGCACTTAAAATAATAAGAAGCTAAGTCTCGAGAACAAAGACAATCATTCTCTCTGAGGAAAGCTGGATGTACGCAGCCCAAGAATAGAAAATGAAGATTCCAAGTTTCTCCAGGGAACGTGAGAGGAGAGCAATTAGGAAGATGGTGATTTCTATTAATAATATGCCTTTGGAAAATGAGAATTATTCATCATTTGGTAGTATTTTGAAATATATTATCAAGCCCAAAGAGCAAGCAGCTGAATAATCTTATGTGTGATTTATATAAACAACTTGTTAAAATAAGAGAAGTAAAAAAAAAAAAAAAAAAAAAAAGTTGGAGACTGAACTAATCTCAAAAAAGAATCTAATTTCCATATAATAACCTAACAGGATGCTCTTGAGGCCTCTTTCTCTTACCACGGCGAATACCTTTAGAGACAACTTCTGGAATGATTTAAATAGTGGTCACAAGATAGCTTCAGCAGTGGGAAGAAGGTAGCTCCTTCAGGCATTAAAGGCCACTCTGAGAGAACAAACTAAAGGAACATGGAACCACAGAGAGTGGGGCTGCTTATGATCAGTTTGAGGACTCGGTTGTGAGGGGCTCCTTGGAAAAATCGAGACAACTCATGTGTAGACACTGTCAGTGCCCTCATCCCCTCATCCACAGCAAGCTGGCTTGCTTTCCAGCTGCCAGCGGCTGCATTTCTCTTCCTGAGGATTTCTCTGGCCTCTGGAATCTGTTCTGTTCACCCTTACAGAAGGCCAGAAATGCCAGGGAACTAACATTCTCTGGGGAAAGGCTGCAAACAATGATCAGTGGAAACGCAAGAATAAATACCCCAGGAGAGAGGACAAACATCCCTCTGCCCTTGAGTGGGGTGGATACCTGAGATACATGTTCTAGTACTGGCTCTCAGATTTCCCCAGTGAGACCTAGGCCCGGTCAGCCACAAGGGTTACTTGCTTGAAAATGAAACCTTCACTGAATTATTTCTTCACTCCCCTACCAGTGTTTCCAGAATTGCCTCCCAAGTAAACTAACTGCACTCAAATCTTTGTGGCCAACACTGTGCCCAACAGTAAAATGCAGGAATCAGAACTGGCCAGAAGTGATAAAACACTATATTTTTAGAGCACAAATAGTTCTTATGTTAGAAGATAATACACAGTAAACTGAGGCTTTTTACTTAGGGTAAGCAAATGGCAACACATAACAAGTCCTTCTTCCACAAGCATATCTTAAATTCACCAGAAGTGATTCTTTGTTTAGTTGCATTCCCCCCTGCATTCTATACAAATAATGGGTAGATTTCAGAGATGGAACTCCGAGTTTACAGCTCTACTAGAATGGAACAAATGCTTAATTTAAAAAACAAAAACAAAAAACCTAGAAATGCTTTTCCATTTCATTATGTTTCTTATTTTTTTTCTGGGAGTAAATTACCACTAAGCTATCACCCTTTCTTTTCAACAGAAAAATAGCAGCTGCATCCATACAAAAGATGGGCAACATATATTCTACCCATGGTTGTATCGGTCTAAGCCAAGATTTACAAAAGTATTTAAAATAAAAGTTGGAAAAAGAAATCTCTGGAATCCAGGATAATTACATCTAACATCCAATGATCTCAACTGAACTTTCACATTTAAAAGAAAACTCTAGATCTCACCTGTTAGATGTAAAGTTGTAATAACCACTTTCCTCTAGGACTTCTTCAATCACAGTCTGACGTTGAAAAAAAAAAATTCAGGTTAGTACTGAACTAAAAGCAACAAAATAAAATTGTTCAAAGGTACTGCAAAAACCTCACCTGCATCTGTTCATATGTTATTCCCTCCTCCAAGTCAGAGCTGGTACACAGACCTGAAATAGATAGGTTATGGGAAGTCTGACCTTTGGTTCACATTTTCTTAGTTGGACTTTGTTGACAATTACAACTCAACTGTAGTGAAAACAGGGTCAACTTAGTCATGATGAAGAGGAGCACATTCCAAATTACCTTGCTTGGAATATTCAAACGCTTTGTTTCTCTTCCTTTATTTTTTAATTTTTTGTTGTTGTTGTTTCTCTTCCTTTAATAATGGCTCCTTTCGGGTGGCCATCACAAAATAATACACAAAGACTTTGGGGCATTTCTCAGGCTATAAATTGGGCAATTAAGTTAGAGAGGCATGTGTGAGCCTACCCATTTATGTGAACACAAAGGTGAGGTGAGGGATATTCCCAACACAAATGACCCAAAGGGCAAGTTTTCTGATTTAAAAAACCTCTCCTTAAGCTACAAGCAAAACCAGTTAATATGTGCTAGAAAGAAAATGAATTCTTAGAGGGAGGCAGAAGTAGACAGGGAAAGACATGAGGACCTGGCCCTTTCCATGACTGCCTAGAGGGATATATAGCACACTTAGTGCTAGGAGGCAATACTTTCTTTGCCAGTGTTTTTGTTTTTGTTTTTCTCTTTTTTAAGCAGGCTCCCTGCTGAGCGGGGAGGCGAGGGGTGGGGTGGGGGGGGCTTGATCCCAGGACCCTGAGATCCCGACCAGAGCCGAAGTCAGACCCCTAACAGGTGACCCTGCTGGGTGTTCTAAGGATGATAGACTAGCACCTCACCCAACTGAGTGCCCCCCAAAGCAATGTTGGCTAGCTTCTACTGTGATCAATTAACACCGGTGTGTGCAGGGAGGCCCAGGAACCCCCTCCACTTAGGAGAGACAAGAGGGAATGGGTTGAAGTGGAGGGGAGGCAGGAGGCTGATGAGCCCTGGCAGCTCCTCTTCCAAGCTGTGAGCCAAGGTGTTCCCCAAAGTGGCTGCAGTCTCTGCTGGGCGAGCCTGTAGCCAGCCTGCTAGGACGGGACTTGCCTGCTCCACCCCGGGTTGGCCCCTCCAGCTGCCCTGGACATCTGCCAACTGTCTCTCAGGCCACTCCGAGATTTCCACCTGAGCTCCTGGTTTCATCAGAATCACTCCTGTAAGAAGTTTGGCCTACAAACTGACTGACCTGCCCTGGGGGTGTTTTTCAAAGCAAAAGACTTTAGCCAAGAGTTCGTCTTGCTCTTGCAGGTTTCTCAGGGATTATTTTAAACAAAAATTCGGCCTACAGGTTGGCTTTATCCCAGGAGTCCAAGACGTAGGGAAAGTTTGAGATTAATACATGAAATGATTTGCCTAAATTGAGGAGTGAGGGGATGGAGAGTCTCCCTTTAAACCGTCATTTCTATCTATGCAACTGAGTGATGGAACTATAGTTTGTAGGCATTTGAAAACTATTAAGGAAACTTGAAATCTCAGAGTAGTTTGAAAACCTCTTCTGAGAGTTCAGTTATCATAAGAAGAGCTACATTATGGTGAGCCCCTGCTAATGGTCAAGTACCTTTTATATGTTTACACTGATTCTCATTATAGCCCTATAGTGCAAGTACCACATTTACCTCCATGTTATAGGCAAGGAAACTGGGGTTCAAGAGGTCAGATAATTTGCCCAAGGTCAACTGCTAAATGCTGGAGCTGAGATTCAAGTTTAGGCATCCAGGTTTTGAGAATCTGCACCTTTAATCCCCATGCTACATAGTCTCCTTATGTGAGATTAATGCAAAAAAGAAAATCAAATTAAATATGTAGATCCTCCATGTAAGTTTTGAATGTTCTTCATTTTGAATATTCAAAGTCTTCATTTCTGTTTTTTATCTCCCTGGATGCTTTTGGGCATTTGATTCCCCATCATCAGATAAGAAGAAATAAAAGGAAATACAATTCACTCAAACCGATTCTGCTGTTTGTTTATGGCATTAATAAATGATCAAGGAAGCTGCCACAACAGGGCATGATAAACCTCGCAGGGAACTTCTATACTTGTACTATATATCTCTTCCAACTATTGCCACAGATAATCAAAATAAGCTCTATTTTTCTTTTAAATTGAAGATAATCTTTTAAGGATAGCTGTTGATCCAAACAATATATTTACTTATGAACGTCAGATTTCCTGTGGTGAAGACCATTACCTGTCGGGTCATCTGGGGACAAGCTGTTTCCACCCGACGGACGATGTAATAAATGGTAATCTGCTGTGAAAAAGTTGGGCTCAATGGGTTCTGGAGATCCCTGAGATAACTGGAACAGAAAAGGCAAAGCCACATGTTATTCTACCATCAGAAGCGAATGACAGGAGACCTCTTTCCCTATGTCTTGGTGTGGAGAATTTAGTGCTTGTGGTTTTCCATCTCTTGTAAACAGAGAAAGGCACACTTTCCTTTCAAAAGAACTTCTAAATCAGAGGCAGGCAAATTACAGTGAAAGCAAGGTAGACAATTCCCTGGTCACATGAAAAAAATAAAAACAACTCTGCACTTCATGGGTTTATGAGAGCAAGATAAAAATGGATAGAAAAATAATGGCATAGGCTTGGGACATCAAAATGTTCTTTGTATCAGGTGTATGAGAAATAAACTCAATTATTCAGCAGAATGATATGCTTATTAGCCCACATCATCATTGTTTTTTGTGTATCTCCTCTAAACAAAGCCTTCTTGATTGACTGAGGCAAACAAGTTTCTTAACGCATTTTTCTAAATTACCATTGCCTAATTTTAATCTCCAAACATTAATCTCCAACACTCTAAAGGAGAGAGTAATTCACTAAATGACAGACTTTATTAAAGTTCCAATTGTTTGATGCTCTCCCACAAAGCTGAATTTTTAAAGTGGAATTTTAGGCTATAAACATTTTACAAACTTCTTTTACCTTTAATTCCAACCAGCACTTGGGCTGGTCAAGTTTTCATGCCTATGTTAATATAATATACTTTTAAAATGCCAATTCTGTGCTCGCTTCGGCAGCACATATACTAAAATGCCAATTCTTACTAATAAACCAGAAATAAATGGCACAATTTAGACTATGCAACAGCAGTTACCTTTGATTCCCATATTCTGCTAATGAATTTGAATACACCATGGTTCAATCACTTGAGAAAACTGGCAGTATTCATTAAGATACAATGTTTACCGTATGACTCTGTAATTCCACTCTTAGGTATACACACAAGAGACATGAGGACCTCTGACCCCAAACTGGAGAAAAACCAAATATCTACAGATGGAAAAATAGATAGATTGTAGAGTGTTTATACACTGGGATTCTGCAAAGCACAAAAAACAGCAACATGAATGAATGTTGAGCAAAAGAAGCCAAAAACACCAAAGAAGAGATCATGTATAACTTCATGTACAGGCATTTTCACAAGCAGATAAAACTAAAGAGTGGCGATGAAGATTAAGATAATGATTATGTTATGGCAGAAGATGGGATCTGACCAGGAAAAGGGAAGGAGGAGCCTTCTTCAGTACGGGAAGTGTTCTACCTAGTGAAGTGAGCGGTGGTCACCCAGATGAGTATGTACGTGGAAGTCCACAGAGCCGTACAGGTTCCTCACTGGATGCATTCTGCATTTTATACCTTAATAAGAACATTTCCTATGAGTAATTGATCATTATTCCATCTGTGTACTTTGGACACTACAAATACAAAGTATTTCTGTGTTTACCAGTCTCCATGTTGCCAAAGACGACTACACTCCAAGAAAAAACTATGGTTCCATCCTTTGTTATTCTTGAAAATTTATTTTCCTTGCTTCACTGACAACTGATAAAACGAATAGCCCATCTGTAAAATGACAAGATCGTAAGATTGCAATGCATTTGCAGTGTAGGAGGATCCGATGGTCACATGACTTAGTAACATTCTCATCAGTGTTATTAGGATGCCACAGAGGTAGGCCTAAGCACTCTATTTCTCATAGCCACACAAGTAGGTTGCTCCAACTAAGTTTCTTGGTATGTCTTGCAATGCTGAGAATGATTTCCTGGTATTGCCTTCCAAATGACTTCAGATGGGATTGTTTTTCATGTGGTTGAACATAGGAGTAATTTGGCTGCCTGAAACGCTCATTCTAATTATAGAAAGCTTAGTTAAGTCAACTTAATTATTAAATAAACACCTTGGAATCCCAGCTCGTTCACAGATAGGAAGGTGTTTAAAGCTGCACAGAGAAATGTGTGAATTGTGAGCTGGGCAGGTCAAGATAGCCATTTTATGAAGATAAGGACCAGTCCTTTTCATTGATTCAAACCTTGAAAAGAGGAGCGTTTGAGGATGCCGGTGCCTCCTACATTAAAAGTCTCCTTCAGCTTAAGAACTGCAAATCCTCAGAGGGATGGGCCCCATGGATAAAGCCAAGGACTAAAATTCATTGGTCTTGTGTTTAAATCCCAGGTACATTTATTTTTCTTCCAGAAACTTCCCAGAACTTCTTGCAGTTCTATTTTCTGACATACATATTCTTTCAGCACATCTTTTTTTGCCCCTTAACTCTGTGTCATGCTCTGAGCGGGTCTTGCAAAACAGAGATGGAAACCACTGGATCTCATATACCAGTGATCTATCCAGCTTTTTAGCACCATGCCAGGCACCAGGGAGGACACAGCAAGGACGTGGCTTGCCATGTGGCTGGGAAAATGGGCTCATGTACACAAACAAGAAGGAGAATAAACTATGAAGTGTAGAATGAGGTGGGGAATTCTGAGCTTCCAAAAAGACCAACATGATTTTCAGAGCTCTGTAGCAGAAACACTGGAGCTGAGCCTTGAAGGATGGATTTGGTGGATGCAGGGAAGCGAGGCAGACATTTCAGGTGAGTGGAACTTGGGGGCAAAGGCTGGGCCCTGCCTAGCGGTAGCAAGGTGATGGAAGGGTGATGACATGAGTCCATGTTATAGAGGTGAGGGGATCTAGGTTGAAGAGAGGAAGGCACATGCTGTTCATTAATTCCGTGGGGATTTTTATCAACTCTTATGTGTCACAGATCCAAACAATGAAAACAACCAATGGTGGCCAAAAATTGTATTCTCAGGGGGCACCTGGGTGGCTCAGTTGGTTAAGCGACCACCTTTGGCTCAGGTCATAATCCTGGAGTCCCGGGATCGAGTCCCGCATCGGGCTCCCTGCTTGGTGGGGAGTCTGCTTCTCCCTCTGACCTATTCCCTCTCATGCTCTCTTTCTCTCTCAAATAAATAAATAAAATCTTTTTAAAAAATTGTACTCTCACTTACTTCCTAGTTAGGGAGGACTATAGCTGTCACGTGTCCATCTGAATCTACGTGAAATGACAACTGCACGGAATGCATTGAAGGACGGGCCGGTGGTTCTGAGAGGTAATGGGCAGGTTCAACTTAGACAGGAATGGCTTTCCTGAAGAAATGACGCACTGAGAACTGAAAGAATGGGAAAGAATGAGTGAAGGATGCAGCGGGAAGATCTGGAAAGGCGGGAACACGAGCATTTGCAAAGACTCAGGAGTAGGCTGCATGGTGGACAGATGGGATCTGCGGCTGGTATGAGACCGTGAAGAACGAGAGAGGGATAAGATGAGGACCGAGAGGTGGGCAGGCTTGGACCAAATGGGACCGGGAATACTGTGGGGACGATTTGGCAGTTTCTACTTAGAGCCCCTGAAAAGCTTTCTGTGTGTCTGTGTGGGTGGGTGCGTGTATGACACGGTCAGATTTCTGTATTGAAACAGTCATTGTGGTGCATGGGCTGGGGACATCCGGGTGGAAGCTCCTGCACATAATGGGGGCCTAGAACGCTGGGTGCCAGTGTTAAGATGGTGAGGCAGGAAACTGGAGGCTTACAAGGTTTTTTGGTATGCTTAAAAAAAAGAAGAAGAAGAAGAGCCGGTATGTTTAGAAACTCGGTCTGGAAAGATGGATTGGAGAATAGGGAAGTCAGCCAAGAAGCTGCCCAGAGAAGCGTTAAGACGTTGAACCAGGTGGTAGCCAAGAGGAAGATCGAATACTCTCCTCTAATAACACCAGTAGCTCCTACAGCCACTTACTGAGTCCTTAAACATTCCAGACACATCGGATGTTCTGTTCGGTTCCTACAACTACCTCTAAGGTAAGCATTATCTCAGGTTTACAGATGGGGACATTGAAATGGAATTTGCTCAAGGGTCATAGCTGGTAAGTGGCAGAACCAGGGCTATAACCCAGGGCTTTAACATCAAAGGGCGAGCAAAACTGCCTACAGGAAGATGATGCAGGTGTTAACGACCTATGGGACAAAAGAAATAACATGGAGCGGCTGAATGTGACTGCAAGGTTTAAAGACTGAGCAGAAGGAAAACATTTCTCCAGTGATAGCGATGCAGATGTAGGAAGGAAAAAGAAGGTGATGAGCCCAATTCTGGACACACCAGATAGGCAAGAAAAGGCTCACCCCATAGGGGGACTATGAATGCTACCACAGAATGGTTCAGAGCAGCCCCTATGGCGGGCAGAGGCCCCGAGGTGGTTCAGCAGTCCTGGGCCAGTGCCATTGTGGGCCCTCTCTTGCCTCTCAAACATTCAGCTTAGAGGGGTACTCCCATCTTTGGCATATATGTTCTCTTTGGAAGAATGCTTAAGACCCTCTTTCTGAACTGACATGAAAGGGTTCTCCTACTCTGAATAAACATCTACAGTTCAAAAGAGCCAATGACTGTACACACTTTTGAAACAAAGCCAAGCAAATATTAAAGAGAACAGACTGTATCACTGTTACTACCCCCTCTCCCCCAAAACTCACTCAACTGATTTTGAGCAAGTATTAAGCAATTTTAGCACTTCATTGTTTGAGATTCTAGTACTTTTTAGGCCAAACCTAAAAGAGAAACACAAACTGTAATCTTCATTAAATTCCCCAAACTATATCTTCTCTTCCATATCATAAAATAAGGTTATCTTTGCTGCAGAACAACTACACCAATTATTTGGCATCTAATCAGCTGACATAGAAAAGAAATGAAACAGCATAAATGAAATTAGGGGCTAGAAGGGATAAAGTTTTTAACGTGTCACATCACACGGCCCTCACCAGTCTTCTGACCTTTTTTCCCTTTAAGTTTTGCTGTCCTCTTCAACTTAGTTATAATATGTTAAGACATAATATATTGTCTTATTTTTCATCTTTTCTAACCTACAGCTCCTTTTTGTTCTTTTTTATGAGGTTTCTGTAGGCCACTTTGTTAACAGACATGTCCAGTATTTATATTCCCTTTTCTCTGATACGGAAG